GAAATCTTTGTTTTGGTTCAAGGCAGAGCAATATTGTCATATTGTGATGCTAAAATCTGCTGCATGGATGAATGCTGAAGTGTCTCAGAGCAGATGTCTCACAGCACTTTTAAAGAAGTTAACTACCTGGTAGAAAGCCAACAGGGTGGTAAGTAAAGGCTGAGAAAACCAGAAATCTCAAGGTCAGGCAAGGTCACTGTGTACTGTGAATAAATTCAACTGAAGTTGCAATGAATTTCCAGTGGCCTTTCAGGTTAATTACTGCATTCATAACTCATGTGAAAAGATCACAAAACAGAGGACTGAGGGAAAATTATGTTACACTACTTCTGTATACTTAAGGCATCCAGATAGCTTTTATAGAAACTTCTGTTTTACTTTACCTTTAAAAAGGAATTTTAGCTACCCAAGACAGTATTCTCTATCTCCTATGGATTTCAAATAGGTGGGGAAGAGAGATAGGGACAGAAAACATTTTTTGGAAAAAAAAAAAAAATCATGGGCATGTATCAATGACATGAAATGACATAACAAAAACAAATAGGCTTTCACAAATTAAAAAAAAAAAAAAGCTGGAGAATAATTTCAAAAGGGAATTTTGAAATATTTCAGGAAACTGAGGATCTCTTTTCTAAGTGAAGCTAGAAAGACTGATTAATGAGTTTGAGTTCAAGAGAGAAGATAAGGAGCTGCAAAGCACAGCAGGTAACTGCTGAGAGGTAACTGCCATCTGAAACTTGACAAAATAAATACTTTCTCTTGAGCCTTTCTTAATCCTATATACAGGTGATTCAAGGATATAGATTATAGATGTTGATAGTGAATTCCTATCTTAAGTTCTGCACAAGCTTATAAACACTTTTCTAAGTAAATAAGGTAGGGGAGGATAACTTTTTTCCTTGGCTTTGGCAGAACTGCCATTCACGATAGTAACAACATTTTAAAAGGCTCAACTTCTACAGCCGGATATGGTCAAGAACAGACTGAAGAAGACAGCACTGACTGCACTGGTACTTTGAATCCAAGGTATGTCATAGTTAAGGAAAGCGAGACTTGTTGAGCCAAGACTGTGCAACTGAAACTGTTAGTCTTGCAAATATATTTCTACATGACAGATTAAGAATCCAGGAAGGAAGTAGAGATTTAAAGACAACTGCACAGTTTTGGTGACGCTATTAGAAAGTGTGAAAAATATGAGGGTATGGGGAATGGGAAGTGAAATGTGACAGACAAGAAGAAATGAGATGGAGGGTATAAAGGAATAGGAGACTGACAGATGGTGGGAAGTGCTAGGAAGCCAGGCACACAGCTAAAGAAGTGGGCTTTAAGGTTTCAAAAAGGGAAATCCAATACACCAGAGGTGATGAGTGGTATCAGAGGCTAGATGCTGCTACATCAACTTTGCATAAGGAATGTTTGTTCGTTCCTTACAAATGTTCATAAATAGAACTGTAAAACTCTCAAAGGGTGTCCTTCTGTGACTGTGGTCCATGATGTTGTGGATTGTCAAGGGGTGGTGGGAGAACAGAATTACCCTTTTTTCCCCACCATAATCCCCACCATTTCCATTAATGTTGCTCTTGTGAAGCAGAGACAGTGTACTCTAGTTATATTACGAAACCTTCTACGTCCTAATGTAGATTCTACTTTATACTGAGAAAACAATGAGCTTTAGAAAAAAAACATTATTCCTTTTTGCCGATACAGAGCTTTAGCATCATTTCATTTTTACAGTTTCTAAAATTGGCACATGAACATGCATTATAACATCTTTTAAATAGAGTTATTTCATTTACTTTGTTCTTATTCTCAGAGGTGTATGCTTGGATTACAAAACAACTGTCCCTGCTTGAGCAGAGTTTGGACTGGATGATCTCTATAGGACCCCTTCAACCTCAACCATTCTGTGATTCTGTGAAAAACTATTGGACTATCCTCTCCAATACAGAACTTTAAAACCATCACCCAATTAAATAGAAAAATATTTAAGACAAATTTTAGCAAGTAGAATATTTAAGTCCTGTAAAATTAAATTTTGCATAGATCATGAAATTTTGTAGAGTTCTGAAACAAATACATTACTTTTATGTTTACATAGACAACCTACATACTTGGATAGCAAAAATTTCAAACCTCGATAGTATCTCTGATAATTTTGAAAACAGCATTTTTTCCTTAAATCACTAGATGAAGAGGAGAAACAGCTTCCTAAAATTGACAATTTGAGATAGCACCATTTTCTCTTGTCTGAGCCCTGATGTGCCTACTGCAGTCTCTTCTGTACAGTAGATGTAACTAAAAATCATTGAAGTAGTAGTTCCTATTTCAATAACAGTATTCAAAGATGATAAAATAGCTGGAGGAAAATTGGAAGGCTATTAAGAATTCAAAAGGAATAGTATTTATTGTTTAATGTTAGGGAATGAACATTTAATTTGGATAAAATAAATGGGCTTATTAAAGTATATTGGCTTCAAATGTCTAAAGCAAAAATTATCAACAAAGGACTATTTTACTATGATTATGAAGTTATTTTAGTACCTAGATGACTCTTGTTCTTCAAGAAATACAAGACCAGAATCAAAAATCAATACCACAGATTAAGAACTGCAGATATTGAATTGACGCTATATTAGTAGCATTCTGTGTCTGGTATTTTTCACTTGGGATTATTAAGAGAACCGTTTTCAGCTGATAACTCTAGCACAATAGGACCCAATTCCACTCAAGCCTTTAGATTCTGTCAAATTGGCTTATGATAACTTGCAAGTCCATGTCTGGAAACAAATATACGAGATGTGGACTGAAAAATAAATAGCTGGTTTCTTACTACTTATTAATAAGTATTTTGTGGAAAATAAGCTTTAATTATACCAGCTCATAAGGTATGTCTGATGTTAATAAAAAATAAAATCAATTACAATAAGAGCAGCTCATAAACAAAGCTGTCATGAGTTTCTAGTCTGAGCTATTAATTTAATAATTAATTAGAAGAAAGTTATATGAGCTTTAAACATCTTGTTTAAAAGCCACACTAATCATCACCACAACAAATTTGATGTTGGTGTAACCTACTCCTGCAGACATGCAAAGGATTTATTTCCTGGAGTATCTAAAGAAAGTCACTGCTCAGTCCAATACCTGTCACTTGAAGAGCAGATTCAGAAAAAATGTTGAATTAGAAGTGTAAGTTTGAAATGCATTTTTAGAGTAGATATATTTTTAGGTTAGAGAAAACTAAGTTTTCACTAAAGAACTCATACTGTAGTGCCAATAAATGTAGATTTCCTTTTCAAAAAATAATGAGTGTATTCCATGTTATGCAATATGACCTTTGGCACTTAAACTTGTCAAAAGTTATAAAAATTTGGACTACCAAAATGCTCAATAGAAAGGTTACTTAAGATATTCTTTATTAAATTGTGATTATTTAAAGTCTTAAAAAAAAAAGCACAAAGCTGAATGTTGGCATGGCAACTTTTGTGATGAAATTACCAGCTGTTATCAGCTGCTATCATATATCATATATGACTCTATGTCATATAAAGAATATTGCATTTAATATTCCTTTTCCTTTTTTCCTAAACTACAGTGATCTTCTGAAAAATATTATCATTCATCGTATTCATTAACAAATAAGGGGCTAAGGAGAAGCAACAGAAAATTGTCAATGCTTGTTTTTCTATTAACAAAAGAGATGCATGTTGCCAAATACAACTTAGGGTATGTTTACTTTTTAGTAAACTTTTAAGTCAATATACTTAGTATAAGTCAATTGACTGTAAGTCAATATACTTTTTGAAAATGACTGAAAAAGGAAGCATTCCAATAATTGGTTTTTGAATTTTGCTCACTGACAATCAACAAAAAGCCTGTTTGACAACCATGCAGCAGAAATTCACAGCAAAACAAAACCAGTTGACAGGTGCTGAGAAAGACAGAAAATAGTAAATTATCAAGAACAGATATAAGCAAAACACACACATGCTTTCATCCCAAGTCAAGGTTAACAGAAGAATTTTCAAAACACATGGCAATCTGGACAGACCTGTGGAGGAACCTGCCTCCTTTTTTGGTCAGGAGATGTAACATACACAGCCTGAGCATAGGTGTAACTTTTGAATCGAGGTTTAGGAGAAGATGAAGGGCCTTGGGGTACACTGACCGTGATCTATGAAGAAATTAGAGGTTGAAAGAACAGGCATTTATGGATTGAAATGCAGATTATAGAAGTAAAACATTGCTAAGTAAAAGAAAAAATGAAAAGGTGAAGTGGGACTGGGTTAGGAGAGTTGCCATTAGCGACTGCAGTTTTCAAGGACAGGGTTGGTATGCAACAGGAAAGGCTTTCATTTAATCTGACATCCCATCAGGAAAACTGCCAACTGTCAGGATTCAATCCCAGCAGAATATCCCGGCAAAGGGAAGTTCTGCAATTTACCAGCAATGGATGAAAAACAAGTAATCTTGTAGTGAGTCCTACATAATCAAACCCAACATTCATTTGCTCAGTACTCCGTAAAGAAACAGCTTCCCAAAAGCAAGATAGAGATTAAACGGAGAACAAGTACGCTAAGTCTAAAATCTATGAAACACTTAAGCAGAAACTGGCTGATGGTTGAATCAAAAGCAAACATAATTAAATGCCACAAATTCTACAAGAGCTTTCTGTGAAGCCAATTACAAGCTAAGAACAGATGATCTTAAAATGCTACTGTAAATAAAATACTATAATAAGAAAATTAAAAGTACACAGTGAACATGTAGAAATGGTAAGAAGTTTCTACATGTCCATGTTTACATGAAAAGCCTAAGAAAAGCAGTACACAAACACAGTTCCTGCAGGCAAGCATCCTGGATGTCCTGGATAAAGTCTCTTCACCATGGTTAAAACTATGCCTGTGGGTATTTTGCCCATCCATCAGCAAGCTTTTAGCATAACTGAAGAAAACAGCTACTTTAAAGCAGGAGCATGAAAGTGCATAAGTGAAACAACTCACTCCTTGCGAAAAATGCTGTCGATGATCAACTCGTATGTGCTCTTCTCTAGTGATCCTGGAGGGTCGTGGCAATGTTTCCACCTCCCTGATGGCTTCCATGGTGACTTGCTGGGGCAGAACTTGGAAGAGGGAAGTCACATACATGAAGATGGACTTCTTATCTGGACAGACAGTTGCAACGTCTGGAAAGCAGATTAGCATATATCAGTTTCTATATCAGATAATGTGCATGAAAAGATAACTAATAAAGTTCATGGAGAGTTGATAGACTAATGAGCAAACTATTGGCCATGTTAGTTCTCTAGAGACTAATTAGAGCTTTATAATCAGTTTCATATCTGCATACCAGTGAGAAAGAGCCAAAGTTTAAAAAGGTAATTGTTTTCTCATTCAACGTGAGCTTCCCTCCTATATTTCTTCTCCAGTGGAAATGCAGATACAATGCGATTTGACTGCATGAGCCTCATTAGACAGGACTATAAATAGGAAAGGGTCTAACTCCTCACGTTGTGCTGCAGTTACCCCTTTGTAAATAAGAGTGTCCTTATTTTTTAATCTTGCATGTCCTCTTAATATCATTTAATCACTGGACTTGACAATAATGCAGGAAGTAAAAGCTCCACAGGTTTATCTACTAAATAGGTTCATACAAGGTACTTAGGCAATCCAACCTCTGACAAAGGAGCATATCTCATCCTCTAAGTACTCTAAAACTTCTAAACTTCATGATGATATAACAAATCTATTGAAAACCAAAGGAAAAAAATCCATTAAGTGCTCAAGTTGGACATAAGCAGTAAGTACAAGTATCTTTTCAGGAATAGAAAGATGATTGCAAGTTGTGCTCTGTGATTTACCAGTGGGAAAAATGGTTGATCTGACTCAACATTTGAAGTCAATAACAATTTGTAAAAATGTTAGCTATGTGGCAGTTCTTTCCAGTAGTTCCTTTGTTACTTGGCATTAAAATTTACATCAGTCAGTCGAGTGAATCAAGATATACAGAGACTGTTGTACAAGAAACTTATCATTAAACCCGTAAGTGTTTAAATATAAGTTCTGGCAGAAACCCAAGAGCTGTGCATTTTTACTATCATAGATTTATTTGGGCCTTGACAATATCTAAGAAAAACTGCAATCCATATATATTCTAGCAGATGAAATAATACTAAAAGACAGCATCTCTTTTTTTCTTCCTACAATGTGCTAAAATTCTCCACACATATTTGGAGATCAAGAAAAGGCAACTGGACAAGTATCAGTATTTTTGGTTTGGCTTTCTGTTTTAACTCCTTAGCTTTGCTCGATACCTTAGAAAAGAGAGCCGAAAACTTAGTTCTGTTTAGAATTGGCTAGAGAAATGTCCCTCACCTTCCTCCCCCTTTTGCCTCCCTCTCTCTCTCCTCCTTAACCCCCAATATTTATTATGTCTGTGGTCATAGTATGCTCACTTTAGAATATATATGACTTTTCCAACCGAAGTACAGCTTGTGCCTCCACAGGCTTCAGTTCTGTAGTATTATTTCAGTCTGGAAACATTTTGCTAGCACTTTCTTCTTGTCTTTTCATTTATAATTTAACAAAAAGCATTTTGCTCTCCTTGGTGTCTAATATTGATTTATATTCACAAGAATATCAATCCCATTATAAGCAAGATATACACAGAAAGGGTCTACACAGAAATAGCATTAATGGCAGCAATGTTGCTCTTCGTTACTTTCCTTTTAAAAAATCCTTATTTTTATATATTTATATATAAAATAGATAAATTATATTTATATTTATAAATTATATTTATATTTCCTTTTCCTTTTAAAAATTCCTTCCTTATGCTTATCATATATCCTTATCATATATAGTCAATAAAGCATACAGCTTGCAAAAAATATACATGCTGAAAATTGTTTATCCATTCTGACAAATATGTTTATACATCTAGCAGAACTCATTGTCAAATAGGAAAAGATATAATTATAATTATTATATCAAAGAGAAAAGTAACCATTGTTACAGGGCCTGGAATTTCAATTGACATTTGAAAATTATTTTTGCAGTCTCCCGAATTACCAGAGCAGGGAAGATTTCTGTTATCCTGCACTACTGCTTGGCCTTCATATTTTTTTCTCTTTGACGCCAATCTAATATATTCTCTTTGCCAACTGTTAGACTGACGGCTATTTGAAGTCTTAACAGGTGTCTAGAAAATAACCCTGAATTTAAACACTTTTTGCAAGAAAATTTATCAGTTCCTTCGTAATGTGTGTCAGGCCGCTGTCTGGGGCAAATTCTTTCAAGCTAATTTATACCCTCTAATGACTAATCCCCAAATCTCTGAAAATACAGAAATTTACATTAGAATCAACATATGTGGTCTATAATGCTTTAGAGAGAAAAAGAAACACACAATTAAGCAAGTATTCAGGGAACTTTTTCAAGAACAAGATGTCTTCTCCAAATCAAAATCAGAAGCAATACTCTAGATAGTTCTATTCACTTTCTTGACAGCAACTACTCAGGATTTAAAACTATAAACAAAAGAGAGAGAGAGAGAGAAAAAGAAAAAGAAAAAGAAAAAGAAAAAGAAAAAGAAAAAGAAAAAGAAAAAGAAAAAGAAAAAGAAAAAGAAAAAGAAAAAGAAAAAGANAAAGAAAAAGAAAAAGAAAAAGAAAAAGAAAAAGAAAAAGAAAAAGAAAAAGAAAAAGAAAAAGAAAAAGAAAAAGAAAAAGAAAAAGAAAAAGAGAAAAAGAAAAAGAAAAAGAAAAAAAGAGTGTTTTTTAGATGAAGTATACTGTCCAGAGAAGGAGTTTCTGGTATGTCTTACTATTCATGAGCTCCTATCTTTTGAAAGATAGCATCCTTTCCTTTAGCATCATCTAATCATCTATAGCAAAAGAAATGAAACTACTTTGTAGGATGCCAATTACCTCACTTTACATGCTCCTCCTGAAGAAATACCATCACTCTCTGGCTATTTGGAAAGCTCTGGAGACTAGCCTGTCCAGCTGAGGTCTCCAGTGAACATCCTCCTTCTCCCTCTCCTCTTCTGTCACGTCATGTATAGCTTTTGGTTCTCAAATTGGAACAGCAAAGAGAAACGAAAAAAGGAAAACCACTGCTTCCAAGACACAGACTGCACAACATGTCTGATAATACGAAGACACAAGAGCACTAGAATGCCAACATGAATTTTCATGAACTAAGTCATTTTGTTCATCTGGAGTTGCAGCTACTTGGTTTACAATCCCAAAGGAGAAGGAAGAACTTTAAACTGTAAAAGAAACAGTGATCCCTGTTTAAGCACTGCTGCCTGCAAAGGAGATATTATAGACTGTATTCAGAAAGAAATAGGCCTTGTGAATTTTCATGACGGCTTGATTTTTAAAAGTAAGTTTTGCCCATTTTCCCATGCATGAAACAGTAAGTCTTTACGATTTACTTCAGTTTGGTTGTTTGTTGAGGATTAGTGGCTACAATAAACCTGGAATGTTCTGAAACTGAATACAGGCCAAAGAAAAAGGCAGAGGTTCAACCCTTCTAAGAGTGATCTACCAGTCAGTTTTGATATTCCTTGAATTTTACAAGATTTTTTTTCTCTTTGCCACATTACGTTCTGCCAATAAGCAATTTTCTACAAGTAATTCTTGTGGAAAGAAGCACTTTGCAGAATTTGAAAGTGAGGATGGTACAAACCGGCTAAATAATCTCCATTTTAAGAAGTGCTGTGTCTCCCTACCAACAACAAAATCCAGGATTTTTTTAATACCATATATACAGAATCACAGAATAGTTGACATTGGAAGGGACCTCTAGAGATCATCTAGTCGAACCCTCCTGCTCCAGCAGGCACACCCAGAGCACGGGGCACAGGGCAGCATCCAGGCGGGATTGGAAGATCTCCAGAGAGAGATCCACTCCACAACCTCCCTGGGCAGCCTGTGCCAGCGCTCCATCACCCTAAAGACAGCACACCCTTTTTGTGTGCTGTGCATTGAGAAAGCATTGTTCTCACTTCTACAACACTGAAGCAGACTTTCAAGGTTGAGTTGAACTTCAGAAATAGAGATCATATAACTTCTTTGTTTCCTGAAAAAGAAGCTTTTTTTTAATTCTTGCTATCAAACATAATCTTTTATTGTAAAACCTAATGACACTAACAGAACATTAACATTTATTAGAATTTCTGAAAACACCTATATTCAAATGCAACTGTTTATAAGTAAAACAGATAACTAACTGAACAAGCTATCAGATTACCGAGAAAAGACAGAACCTAGCTAGTACAAAAAATACTAATTTCAGTAATATAAACACATTACAGGAGGGACTGAGTCTTTTTACATGTTTATGCAGTACCTCCCACTGTGGCACCAACCTCAACTGGAGCATCCACGATGACGGCAAAGTGGAAATATCTACAAACACAGTAGTGCAAACCAGGACATAAATGACGCAAGCTATTTTAACTAAGAATTAGTGGAAAAACAGAACAATACAAAAGCTCTTTGAGTCCTCTTTCAATGTGAAGGCTGAGGACACAGAAGCAGCTGTGATGGTTCCATCGTATGAGCTAATGATTCTATCTGGAAACATTCCTCAGAGTCAGGCATCAGGGCAACACTTGAGAAAAAAAGAGCCATATGCATACATTTGTGTATTCCTGCAAAGTATTTAATTGTTCAGGCTTATTAAAAAATGTTTTGGAAATAAGGACTTAATACAGCCATATTATCAATCAGCTAAATGAATTATATGTAAGAGGTCAAGATGGCTACTACCTTCAGAAGAATTAGCATCAGTATTTACTCAGCAGCCTAGGGCAACACTGAAGGAAAAAAACCCAACAACAACAACAACAACAACAAAACAACAAAAACCCACAGGGAAATACAGAGAAAAATTCACTACCTAAACCACAGGCAACTTTGGTAGTTTACTACCAGTTTCCGGACAGGGATATACTATGAATTGATAGACAGCTCTATAATATTAATGAATGGGGGAAAAAAAAAGTCAAAATGTGAGGAAAATTGATTATTTTTAGCCTGAGAAAGATTAATTTAGAACTATATTTTCTGAAAATGCTAAAAAGGAACACTTGTACATCTTTTGTTAATTCCTAATTCCCTCAAAATTCATTATCTAATCTATCATAATCATATTATTATCTAATCTATCATAATCA